ACAAGGGATGGGATTTGTAAGCTTTTAGTGGTTTCATAAACAAGTACATGTCTAATATTTTTACTTAAGTGGGGTGCAGTGCAGGTGCCGTTCGGCTTGCACCTCGAACCTTCCTTGCTTAAATTTTGTGGTAGACGTTCCCCACTCTCTTTTCCCAGTTGGCTTAGTCATTGGGTCTGTGGGAATACAGCGTGCAAGGTTTTATGGTTCAACTCCTAAGAAACCCTCGTCCCTTTACCTCGAGTAAATGTGTAAAAAATATGTCAATTTTACAAAATTTTTATTTAAAAATATTAATTTTATCAATTTTTAAATAAAAAAATCAACTTTTAACATTTTTTCTTTAAGGTTATCAACTTTAAATTTTTTTATTTAAAAATATTAATTTTAAACTTTTACTGTTTAAAAATTAATTGGATAATGATTCTAATGTGACAAATCAACTTTTTAATTGAAATATTGAAAGTTAGTATTTTTAAATAGAAAAAATTGAAAGTTGACGTCTTTAAATAAAAAATGTTGAAATTTGATATCTTTATTTAGAAATTGACAAAGTTAACATCCTTAAATAGAAACAATTTTAAAGTTGACATCATTTTTTGCACCTTTACTCCCTTTAGATAATTTATGTAAATTTGCCCTATTTCATTAATATATATATATATCATTTTTTTTTGCCATCAAATTCTCTAAAAATTTATCATGTTACCTAGATGCTAACGAAAATGAAGAATTAATTCGCACAATTTATACTTTGAAATCTGATTTTTTTTTTTTTTTTGAGTTTTGGTATGACATTTATTCCCTAAAACCAATTTATTTTAGGACATTTCAACTAATTACAGCTTTTTTTTTTATAATGTAGAGATTAGAGATTAAATTTTAAATCTATAGTTAAAAATATAAATAACTTTATTATTAAATTACATGATCGATAATTGAATAGATAATAACTATAAAAAAGACTAACTATTTTCTTATTAAAATTTTCATCACTAATTTTACGATTTAGAACTAACCTTTCACTTAAAATGTCAAACTTTTACAACTCTATATTTCCTTGCTACATCAATAAGAAAAATTTGTGTGACATGATTGAGAAAATGAATTGGATGACGAAGGATAGATAAACCCCTCAAGCTTTATCCCTTTACTGGATAATTATAATAAATAGAATAACAACGTAAGAACATGCTTAGTTGATTAGATCCAACTAAAGCAAGACCCATGTTTTTTTTTTTCTTTTAGAATGAATCAAAACAAATACTATTTTTATAAGGGGATTTCTAACTCATGGCCATAGGGTATAAGTTAAAAGTCTTGAAAAAAATAAAAAATAATATTTAATTTATAAACTGTTTAATTAAATTTATTCACGTAATATTATTTTTAAAATTAATATTAATTTTTATATTTTTTTATATAAATTTAAAAATACCCTTAAAAAAATCCTTTTAATAATTGGTTTTTGACAATATCAACACGAAATCATCTTTAATGTCCCAATGGAGCAATACCCTACTAATTATCATCAAACCAAAACAAGACACATAAATAGAGCCAACCCCATATAAATTATTAATTAATTAGTATATGTATAATTATATTATTCTATTTTATCTTCCTTGTTACATTGGGATACCAGCATTCTGCATGAGGAACCGTTCTCTGTCCCTCTTTTTAGGATAAGAACGGATCTGCCTTTTGAATCCGTTGTGATCTTTTTGCAACATAAAAATATTGTGGATTTTACCACCTCCACGTGTTTTTTTTTCTTTAATTGTATAATTAAAAAAATTATTTTTTATTTTTTATTTTACTTTATC